ATTTAAAATTAAGACTCTAATTTTTTTAGAAATTAAAATTAATATGCGTTTTCTCCATAAATATATGATAAAAATGTTTTGCAGTCTATTTTCTCAATTTTTTAGAGAGTTTGTCTAAAATTTTAATTTTTTACTTATATTTTCAAAAACCAAATATTAAATTAAAAATTTTATTTATATAATTTTGTGTATGAATTTTTATATTTATCTAATAGATTAGACCATCTGGTTAATTATAAAAAATTTAATGTTATAAAATACATATAATAAATAAAGTTATTTTAATCAAATAAGTATAAATAATAAATTAATATAAAATTAATATATATTATCGATATAAATCAAATATTTAATCTAACATTTTTAAAAATAGTAAAGGAAAATTTTCCTTTGGTGCATCTGTTAAACTTTTCCTTTACTTTCAGCGAAGAACCTGAAATTTGTCCTAAAACAGTAAAAATGCGCTGACCAAATTAGAGTGTAGTTAAGTTAACTCGTTTAGGATAATCATAAAGTGAAATGTCTAATATATCCTTTGAAATTAATTTCTGTAAAAAAAAATGCTAGTTTCCTCCCTTATATCTTCAGTCGCTTTCGATATGCAAATTCATTTAGTACTTTGTTCTAAAGCATTGTTTTTTAATTAACTGTATATATGAAAGGGATTTTGGGGACTTTACTGGGGAAGTTGGCAACAAAATTGAGGTGGATCTTAATCTAATTTTGATTTGCTGTGGGGTTAGTTTTTTTTTTTTTTTTTTGTTGACAAAGACAATGATTAGTAAGTTAATTTTATTAGTGGTTAGTAACTGAAGATTCAATTTTAAATTAGTAAGTTAATTTTATTAGTGGTTAGTAATTGAAGATTCAATTTCAGATTCGATGAACACCCACCTCTCTCAATAAGACGCGCGGTTCATCTGATCGTTTGGTGGAGTTCGCTGTGGGTTTAGTTTGGTTTTAAAGTTCTTTGATTGATTGGAATTAATCTAAACAACAATTGCCGGCGTTTCAAAAACGGCAGCACCAGACTCTCTGGGCATTGTCACTGCTTGCTCAGTGCTCTCATGATTGCTGGCGTCGATGGTGATGAAGGGGAAGGAAAACAAACGAAGGGTAATATGGACTTTTGCAAAAGTGACAATACAGTACCAATGAGTTTTACCGGCCGCATTTTCATTAATGCAAGACACAAAATTGTGTTTTCACTTAATGAACCGAAAAAATGGGAAAGAAGAACTAAAGATGTATTTTTTTCAAATATTAATTAGAAAGTTAATTTTTAGACAAAATTTTTTAAAATTTTTAAGAGAATTATCTGCTGTATATCATATATAAAAATACATATGAATCCCAATTTTTATAAAAAAAATTAGAGTTTTAACTAAAAAAACATTACTTTTTAG